AAAAAAAAAAAAAAAAAAAAAGATTAAAGATGCACCAGATACATGTGAGATATAACCAGGTATCATCACAGAGCCCTTCCTCAATGCTGCACACTGGCCACAAGTGCACACATGCGCACACACCTACACTGTCTGCCCTCTACATCCTCAAGGGCAGGCTCTGGAGCTAGGCTGCCTGGCTTTAAATCCTCACGATGCTGCCTCCTTGCCCCAGGCAGATATTACTTAACGTCTCTGTACTACAGCTTCCTAATGTCTGAAATGGGGATAGTATTAGAACCTATCTCATAGAATTCTTGGGAGGATGAAATGAGATGCTGGTATTGCACATTTAAAGCACTGTGAATAGTGCCTGAAACACAGTAAGTGCTCAACAAAGGTAATGATGCAGATGATGGCTGGACTGGTTGGAAAACACTGAGCTATGGTTTTATTGAGATTTGACCCCAGCACAGGAACAAAACAAAAAACTGACCCTCAGCACTGTATCCTGGGCCAGGAGTGGTGGTTTACACCTGTAATCCCAGCACGTTGGGGGGCCAAGGTGGGCGGATCACTTGAGGTCAGCAGTTTGGGATTTGCTTGGCCAACATGGCAAAACCCCGCCTCTACTAAAAATACAAAAATTAGTTGGGCATGGTGGCGCACACATGAGGTCCCAATTACTTGAGAGGCTGAGGTATGAACCCGGGAGGCAGAGGTTGCAGTGAGCTGAGATCGTGCTACTGCACTCCAGCCTGGATAACAGAGATCGTGTCTCAAAAACAAACAAACAGAAATTAGCCAGGCATGGTGGCATGTGCCTGTAATTCCAGCTACTCAGGAGGCTGAGGCAAGAAAATTGCTTGAATTCGGGAGGCGGAAGTTGAAGTGAGCTGAGATCATGTCACTGCACTCTGACCTGGGAAACAGAGTGAGACTCTGTCTCAAAAACAACAACAAACAAACAAACAAACAAAAAACAACCCCAGAAAAACCACTGTATCCTAAGCCTTAAAACAGCCACCTTCACTAGGCGCAGTGGCTCATGCCTGTAATCCCACCAGGCTTTTCCTTTGGGAAGCCAAGGTGGGTGGATCACCTGAGGTGAGCTCGAGACCAGCCTGGCCAACATGGTGAAACCCGTTTCTACTAATAATACAAAAATTAGCTGGGCGTGGTGGCGCACACCTGTAATCCCAGCTACTCGGGAGGTTGAAGCAGGGGAATTGCTTGAATCCAGGAGGTGGAGGTTGCAGTGAACAAGATGTGCCACTGCACTCTAGCCTGGGCGACAAGAGTGAAACTCCATCTCAAAAACAAAAACAAAAACAAACAAAACAACAACATCAACAAAACCCAGCTACCTTGCACAGCCATAGTGAGCACATGGGCACTCATGAATGAATGCAAACCCAGTTATCACATTGAAAAGGAAAGGAACATGCACGCCTTGCTGACATTAGGACTGTGGAATATTTTCAGAGAATGAATAATGATGAACACTGTGCTGGCAAAACATAACACTAACATTTTCATGCGTGAAATCAAAGGGAGTCATGCCTGAAAATACTGCACATGGAACTGATCCCTCAGAAAAATAGGATACCAGGTGGGGCGCAGTGGCACACGCCTGTAATCCCAGCACTTTGGGAGGCCAAGGCAAGTGGACTGCTTGAGGTCAGGAGCTCAAGACCAGCCTGACCAACACGGTAAAACTCCGTCTCTACTAAAAACACAAAAGGAAGGGAAGGGGAAAGGGAAGAAAAGAAAAGAAGAGAAAGAAAAGAAAAGAAGGATGCCAGACTGAGAAAACTCACCCAAATAAGGTGAAAGAACTAGAGACTAAGATCTATTCTTATACAAATGTAGTGAGCCTGCGCAACAAGGTGAGACCCTATCTCTACCAAAAAAAAAAAAAAAAAAAAAAGTAATAATAATAAAAATTAAAAATTAGCTGGGCATGGTGGTGCACCCTGTGGTCCCAGCTACATGGAAGATTGAGG